TGGTTGCTATCAGTCATTCGCGCGGTAGGTTAACTACGAGTACGAGTTCTCACCGACTGACTTGCACTCCTGATTTTAATGCTGCCTATTGCATCTAATGCTAACTTGTTGAGCCACACCGCTTCAGCCCTCTGCACGTCGAACTCGTCCAGATCCGTCATTCCCCTTTTCATCTCTCCCGTCCTTGCTTATCAACACCGTAACCAGCGACCGATCCCCAGCAATGGATGTTGCTCTGGACCCCAGCGTGAACGTCGAGAATCCAGTTGCCCCAGCTCTTCCCCACAATTCATCTTTGATGGAACACTCCCAACCCCGTTCTCCTTTTTCCTCGCAGTCTATCCTGCCTCAGTCACCTCCTTACCAATCTACAACGTCTTCAACTCATATCACATCCGCGCCAGATCGACTGACTCAATCCCAAAGCGGCGAGGATGCTACTCGAGAGCCGCACCCCACGGCCATTGCTTCCATTCCTTCTCCTCATTCAAATCCTCAATCAGCCCCTCATCGGCCCCAGCCCCTTGAAGAGGACCGTATGGATGTTACCATTGATGCTCCACAGCCAGAACCAGAGGAGAGCTTCTCGAATACGGTTCTCCCGGAATCAACTGATGAACACGGAACAATTAGCTCCATCCCCGAAAACATGGAAACCGAACCAACTGGAAGCCCTGATGTTGCCAACGATTCTATACTAGCTGTCGGCTCATCTCCACCAGTTTCAGAGCCACCCATAGCCGTAACTACGGATCACAATGTGGCTCGACCTACAGTAACGGGAGTCCCATCCCCTAACAATGATCCTCAAACAGAACTTCCATCGGAACAGCCCTCGTCTCAGGATTTTGCCGACAGCCTTCCCGAACGGAATAGTTCACTAGATGACTCACAAAGTAATTCCCAGGAATCTCCCGTCAGCGGGGAAGAGGAACATGCTTACTGGGCCGATGTTGAGGAGGACACATCGTCTCCTGATGAGGAGGAGATGAAAGAAATCGAGTCTGGTGACGATTACAGTGCCTTGGATTGTAAGTCTTTAAACTAATTACCATTTTCCAAGTCTTGTGAACAAGAAAAGCACTCTTTAGGGACTTTCCACATTTCTAACTTGCTCGATGTTATACATTATATATATATATATATATAGACGATTACTGGGAAAAGACCTTCTACAGAGAACTTGATGACCCTGAATATAAACCTGCAGAGAAAGCCCGCCTGACCTGGAAGTTTAAAGGTGTACGGGGCACCAAGGAAAAACCAAATCGTGCCACTATCATGAGGTCTCCAGCTGCTTTGATCGGCGGTCTTTACTGGACTATAAAGTTTTTCCCCAGGGGTAACAACGTAAACTCTTTGAGCATCTACATTGAGTCATCTGCTACGCCCCCTACACAGGATAAGGATATCCCCGAGACCGAGTTCAGGGTTTTCAAAGGCCCTCCAAATGCCGTATTGAGCGATTTGGTACCAGAGGTCGATTTAACTCTCCCAGCTTCGGCAGACTCCAGTAAAGCTCCAACCGTCTCAGTCTCCGTCTCTCAGAACGACGAGAAACAGGAGCTCTCCTCTGAAGACAACGGTCAACCTACACCCCCGGAGGAGCCAGCAAGTGAGCATCCGAGAAAAGTTTCACAATCCCATCCGCCGAGGGATTGGAGAGTATCGGCTCAAATCGGAGTTATCATATACAACCCCAACGAGCCGCGAACTGCTTGGATGCAGTCCTCATGTCATCAGTTTAACTCCCACAACGTTGATTGGGGCTGGACAACCTTTCATGGGCCCTGGGATCAGATTCACCAACGACATCGTGGCCAAAGACAAGCGCTGCTCCGAAATGACACTCTCGCTTTTGATGCCTATCTTCGAATTATCGATGATCCCACGCAGTCTCTCTGGTGGCATTCAAGCGATAGCGAGCCTATCTGGGACAGTTTGAACCTAACTGGTTACCGGCCCATGGGTGATTCTATTTTGAAATATAGCTTTGAGGTTGCTGGTTTGGTATCGTGGCTTCTCCTGGCGCCGTTCCGGGAAATTATTCAGGATGTGAACATTTTGGAACATCTCACCACTCCGGGGGTTAAACCAAGACCCCTATGTGAGGCTTTACAGAAGCTTTTACTAGCTCTACGGACGCCACATCCTCCCCAACTTTCAGTTGATACTGATTTTGTCACTCAGACTCTTCGCAATTTGCAAGAATTCTCCAGAGACGTGATGGAATTTTGGGAGAGGTTCCGGCGTTCTCTTGAATTAGAACTGGAAGGAACTGATGCCGTTGCTGAATTGGCAAAAATCTTCGACGGTCAGATGGTGAACTGCGGCGACACAATTACAGACCCTAAACCTGATAAACCACTGGACACAGTCAACTATTTCCGCGGAGACTTCAACTCTAAAATTAGCGTTCCTGCGCAAACCTCGGAGAACGTGGAGTCGGGGGTAAAGAAGTATTTGAGCGACAAACCTGGAAAGTGGTCTCTACCTGCGGTTCTCCATGTAGAACTAGCTCGCCAGAAATTTGACAAGCCCAGTCGTAACTGGAAACTCATTTCCCGCCGTGTGGGGATAGATGAAGAACTTGATCTCTCAGATTTTGTCGCAGATCCTCGATCTGGAAAATACAGTCTTTACGGGTTTGTTGTCCACAAGGGCAAGCGGACGTCAGGGCAATTCTACAGTATCCTCCGTCCTACTGGACCGGGATCACGATGGCTTGCTTTTGAAGACGCAGGCGATAACAAAATTGAGTGTCTGACAAGAAAGGCGGCGATCAACGCTCATGAAGGTATTCCACCTGAGGACACAAGAGCACGTGATAGGTCTGGACACGATATTGCTGTGGTTGTCATGTATGTACGAAATGACGTGCTTCCCCGATTCTTGACCAGAGAAATTGAGCCATGGGATATTTCGGGGCCAAGAAAAGCTTATTTGGAACTTGGACATGTGCCATTCGCCTCGGCACCCCCTGTTACCGTTGAGGCATATTCACTCAGTGATCTCTCTCTGGTGAGTAACAGCTTATTTGATGCCTATGATTTGATGGAAACTGCCAGAGCTGTTGGTCAAATCCGATATTTGACCTTGCCGGCAAGTACATCAATCGCAGAGCTAAGGGAGAAGTTGGCAAGGTGGCAGTCGAATGGGGATATACAGGTGAAGTCAAAAGATATCCGCCTGTGGAAGATCGGCCGTCCAAAATCCGGTTTCCCCCCCACCTCGCAGCTCACAACTCTTCCGGATCTTTCTCAATCGCTGGTGTGCTCTGAGATGAACTCTCTGCGCCTCTGGATGCATATCCTGACTGAAGGTGAGTCCGTGAAGTCGCCACCTATATAGTAACCTGAATGTGTTAAGTCCAAACCTTGTAATCCATTCTGATCATTGATATCAGATGACGCAAAGCTATTCGCTGTGTTCAACCCACAACTTTCTGCCAACGTATTTGAAAATGAAGATTCTTCTGAAGCAGCCGCAGAAGTAGCGAGCGGGCCAAGCAGCCTCGCCAGCCAAATTCCATTGGAAGAACAGAGCATCCGGGAAACCCAGAATACCGGCATGGCTGATTTAAACCCTCCTGCTGATCCAACGGACAGGGAAGCAAGCACCAGTATTAATTTAGCGCCTTCTAACCCGCAACCAGAAGTAGTACAAGTAGCCAATGAGACTGTGACGCCGGACCATGCAAATATGCTTCCCTCTAATAACAACGACAATGCCCGACAGGATTCCAATATCCCAATATCAGATGTCCAAATGACCGATGCAGAACCCAGTACGGAGGACATCAGCATTTTGGCTGTCGCAACTGCAGATCCGGCATCCCAGAGTACCACATCAGAACAGCCGGGCGATTACCACGGAGGCAATGAAGCTGGTTCTGTCGACCATGCGACTCCTAGCGCTGAGTATATTTCGACACCGGCTCTTACCCAGGAAGACTCAGTCATGGGAGATACCGCGCCTGAACATCAGACTGTAATTGCCTCCAATGAGAACTCAGAAGCGATTGCTCTGACAGAAAATGCGGAGAACGATATAAATGAAATTGCTCAACTACCATTTGAAGATCTAACACATCAGCTGGTTCCACTACCTGCTCAAGTATATTATTTTGTCCAAATATTTGACATAGAAAAGCAAGAATTCCGAGTTGCTGGAGTTTTCTTCTCCAAGAGAAGTTCGTCTATCAAAGCTTCTGTCCGTGCCGCTCTTGGATGGCCTGATGATAAACTATTTCATCTTTGGCATCGTGTTGATGGCATATCAATTTTGTCCATCTCCAGTAACGATAGGTTCAACAAAATCGTATCTGCCGATCGAGACGGTGAATGTTTCCTTGTCGGGGAGGTACTGCCAAAGTCACAGTATGTAGTTTAGTGTTGTTTATTTATTCACGCAGGTTTTTGCCTTGCTAACATTGCCATAATGATAGATCCACGGAGATTTCAGAGAGAGGTTCGTTCGCGAATCCAGATCTGCTAGCTCAATACCTTTGGGCATTATCTCGTCGACATCCAACCCAGTCTCTCACGGGCACGAAAATTGTTGATGCCACTTACAATGGCGAATATTATTCCGGCGACTTCAAAAAGGGATATTATCACGGCAAAGGAACTCACATATCGGATTCTGGTGCTACCTACACTGGTGATTTCGTCTTGGGACAACGTCATGGGAAAGGTGTCATGGAGTTCGCTTCTGGCGATACATACGACGGAGATTGGTTCGAAGATGAGCGGAATGGGCAGGGAACGTTCGTAGAACGCAAGACTGGGAATAAGTACGTCGGTGGCTACCGCGCTGGCAAACGACATGGAAAAGGCATCAGTTACTGGGAAGTCGCAGATGAAGAAATGGACCTTTGCCAAATCTGCTATAGCCAAGATCAGGATGCGCTATTCTACAGTTGTGGACATGTGTGCGCATGCGTCAGTTGCGCCAAACAAGTTGACATATGTCCTATGTGTCGAAAGAAGGTCGCAAATGTCGTGAAGATTTACCGCAGCTAATGTAGGCCCTACTCTCCCGGCCGTTTTATTTTGCCATCTAAAACTCGCCTCTTCTGGATGATGATCTGGATGATTTTCTTTCTTTTCTTTTCCTGGAAATAATAGCGTAGCGATTGTTTTGTTTTTCATCTCCTCGACCATATTTTTCTTTTCACTTTTTTTTTTCTTTGTAAGACCGCGACACCGGCCGTCCCGATCCGCGATGGATTGATTTCAACTTGAGCTTGATATCTGCCACAGTTTTTTGCTCGGCTTTTGACTGTTGGTCTTACAATTGTACGCCATTCACGCCAATCTTCCGAAAGCTACTTTTTAGCGATAATCGTTAGCGAATGCCCTTCCAGCTCCATTTGTTGTGTCGTATCGGCTAGCATTTTGCCCCGTCATAATCTAGATTAAATATGCAGCCAATGTCGCTGCGGTTTTGGTTATTCTTAATCTTCTGATGCGATCATTTTTGAATGAATTTTACATTCTATACATGCATTTGAGAGAGAAAAACACAATCAAATGTATCTTTTATACCTATCCCCTCGTCTGGGGGCGAGGCAACAATTAGCGTCGTGCCTGACCGCCTTTATATGGCCAATAGGCAAGCTGAATTATCGGCTTCCGGCCAGTAAGCAGTCATGAATTGGGGTGGCAGAAAAATACGCTAATTGTTGCCTCGCCCTCAGACGAGGGGATAAACATTAGAAACACAGCTAGGAATTATTTTACATCCATCTATTATCATTCCTCCCTACAGTGTTGACATGGCCACCAGGGCTGTGCAAAGCGATGAAAAACAGATCAAAAACTGATAAGTGAATCGTGATGTATATCATGTATAACGTATATCAACAGTCAATAATGAAAATATTATATAAAGAGATCTGAGAATGGAGTGACGGTAATATCAAAATATAGAATATAGTGTTTAAAAAAAGAAGATAAAAAGAAAAGAAAAAGAAAAAACAAATGTTGGCATCTCTATTTGCTTGGTAGAATGCCACTTGACCACATCTATTTAAGCAGTGCTGTGCTTGCTAGATACTCACAATAACTAGTGGTTATATGAAGGTGGATTTGCCTGTGTTTGAACATGTGTTCTATAATGTTCAGTCAAGGTCTCTGAATAACTAGTACATGTTCTGTACAGTAAGCTATTTTTTTTGATTATATAAAAAAGATAACTTTTCTGTAATATTATATACAATGACTGTATCAGCTTCTCTCTGAATATGTATTTAATAATTATCACTTTACTAGTGATCTACTACTATACTCTTCTTCTCTGCTCTTGTATTGATTTCTATTTTTAACTATACTATTCTTATTCTTACTCATCTATTTTGAAACCTTTATATCTTTATATAAATAAAAAAAATTGATAATAATTTCTGTTGTTGATACTGTTGTTGAAGTAGCTGCTGTATAGAAACAGCTACAGTATAATTTTATTATAAAGATAATAGTATAAAAAGAGAATACACTGAGAATCAGCAGATAAAGCAGATCAAAGAATATATAGATAATATATACAGAGAAATAGAATAAATAAGTAATAATATATAGATTTATTTTGTTTCTACTTTTTTATTTCTATATATAAAAAGAGATAGAATTTGATAGACTAACTTCTCACTGCTGTTTGATCTCTACTATTTATATAATAGAAATAATATAATAAAAAAAAGTTTTCAAATAATTAGATTATCTCTGAACAGAAAATAATCTAATTTTTTTATAAAAAAGTTATCAATTATTTATTCAGATATAATTCAAAGGTTGTTTGAGCTGTTGCAAGTTTTTCAGCTTGCAAGCTCTTTTTATATGAAATAGTTACTAGTACAGTAGTGTACATCATTCTTGATAATAGAGAGTGATATATATTATGAAAGAATAATAAGCTGAAATTACTATATTCTTCTCTATCAAATCTATCTATACTTTTATAATAATATTCTGCTGTATATATCTGTCTTTATAATATACTATTTCTGAAACATTTGTAGTATATATTTATCAAGTCATTGTTGTAATTGTATATTGTCTAGCTCAAAACAATAAAACACTCTTACTTTATATATATAAGAATTCTTATTACAACAATACTATTTTATTATTAATCACACTATATTTACAACTATTCTATTCTATTTATTTATTTGTTCTCTCTCAATCATTCTATCTCTACTCTGCTTTTGATTATCTTATATATCTATTCTATTCTATTAAATATCTAGTTCTCTCTATTCTATAATATAGTATCTAATTGCTATGATTTTTATTATTTCAGTTGTATTGAATAATCTACTAATAAGTTTTTATTGATTAAATTTTGTTAAAAGCTAATTTGACTGTAAATTGATGATTTTTATAATTGCTAATTATTACTAGTTTCTACTTTCTATTATCAGAGTATATATCTGATTTATAATTATTCTAGCTTTTTTTTCAAAGATCTCTCTGCAGATGATTTTACTTCTATTAAGAAGATTGTCTTTAATAATATTATAAAAATCAGATACAATAATAATGATATGAATATTTTAATTAATAATAAAAATATAGATGAAACAGTTGATAAGATTATTGATATAAATATAAACAGTAATAGCAGTATTTATAAAGATAATATGATAATAAATATCTTTATATTATTTTCTATTGCTGTTTTTTTTATTTTTATCTGTGTTTCTATCTTCTCTATTATCTCTATTTTCTCTACTATCTATACTTTCTCTGCTGTCTATATCTTTTCTACTGTCTCTGATTCTATCTTTTCTATTTATATCAATTTCTCTTTCTTCTTTTATACTGATTTTTTATTTTTATTTACTTTTTTAGAGATGTTGTATATCTTCTGCAGTTTTTTTCTTTATTTCTTATACTTTTCTTCTATACTTACTATATCTGATAAAATATATTTTTATATATAAGTTCTGTATAATATAATCTATTTTATTAGTTATTTATTGATTGTATTTTTTACTTAAAGCAAGTATAAAATATTTAGTAATCTTATACATTTCTGAGATTTCAATATTGTTTAAATAAATTGTATTAAATATATACAATATTCTCTCTTTATCTATAAATTTATTCTAATTTATTGTAGATGAAATTATTCAGAGTCTCTGTATTATTAAGATTATAATAAATAAAGATCTCTGTACTATATTCATCTATATTAATTTTTATATCATTTTCTTATTTTTATATACTTTCAGTCTATCAGATAAATACTATTATTTTTTGTATTGATATATAATCTCTGAATTAATCATTTATAGAAAGAAAATATATATATAGAATAATTCAAATAGTAATATAATATTTTTTTATACTCAGAATAAGTATATATTTATTTCTTATATAAATTATATATATAGTAAAGACTTATTTCAATTTTATATTCTATCTTCTATATATAATTATTTTATTGACTGTTTTTATCTCTGTTGTAATTATTTATAAAGTTTCAAAAGAAGTTTCTATTCTTTCAGTAAATATATATTCTTTTCTTTATATTCTAATAACTGCTAATACTTTATAGTTGCTTTGAATATTACTCTGTATATATTTATTACTGCTTTTATTTCTGATTTCTTTGTAACTCATTCATTCTTCTTCACTTTTATTTTCATTTTCACTCTTTTTTTTCTTTCTTCATTTTCTGCTGAATAAGTATCTACCACTTATTTTTATAAAAATTCAGATACTTATTTCACTGCTTTATTTATTTCTATTTTATTTTCTTTTATTCTGATTAATTTCTTTCTGTGTATATATTCTTATTATTTTATTGAGTTTTCTATAAATCTTCTTATTGAAGATATTGAATTAATATATCAGATTTTTTATAAAATGAAGATGTGCTCTGTACTTCTATATATTTATTTTAAGATCTTGAAATTCTTGATATAAACTGAATTTTAATTTTTATTGTATACAAATTGTTTCTGAAGATATTGAGCTGAGATGTTTTATTAATATATATCTTTTTTTTTCTTTACTTTTATAGTATTTATATATTTTTAGAAATTGAATAAAGCTTTTGTGATAATCACTAGAGCTGTGTATGAATAAATTTTTTTTAACTTTCTTTTTCTCTTTCTTTTCTTCTTATCTAATATTAATCTTATGCAATTTTTTATTGATTCTATATTTGATAATCAGATATAATAGATCTTATATTTTTCAATGAGAGTGTTCTGTTTTTATATATTATACTATTTCTCTTTGCAAGCTTATATAACTATAGTGAATAATTTATTGAAATTAATTTTATCTGATCTCTGAGTATCTTCAGATGCTGAAATAATTTAATTCAGTATATTTATTAATATTTCTGATAGTTTATTCTCTGAAATTTTTATATTTAAACTGATATAGATAGTTGAATCTTTATCTGAATTTTTTTATTTCTTACAATTTAATTTATACGAACTACTGAGCGGGCAGAAGAATGAATAACTCCCGAGTATGACGATAAGAAAGATGAACAATTCAGCTGAGGGAAACATTGTTGGGTACCGAATCCTACAATAAAGTTTCCCGTCGATACATGGGAAGCATAAGCATTCTGAAAGCTTGAACAGGAATTATATTTATTCTCTCCCGCCCACACACACACACACACAAAATAGCTTTTCAATCCCCGAAGTTCAGGCAGAGAGAGAAAATAATGAACATTTTTCTGTCCTCCCCGCCT